TCAAAATCACCTATAAAAGGCACCGAAGAAATAGCAGTCTTAGAAAGCAGCACAAGATCTAGATAGTCACCTTTTAATTATAACACGTAAATTTGTTATCTAGGTAACCTCATTACTGTTTGGCTGACACCTGAGATAGGAAACATCAATGCTGCCTAGTCCCTGCCACCATTCCCTCACCCACACACCAATTTTAATAGAGTTAGAAGGGGTGAAGGCTCTCAGAAAGAAAAGGAGTTCAATAACCTCATTTACATCAGCAAGAAACTTTTAGGAGGGTTTATTTTTTAAAATATGTACACATAGAACGTTACAGTTATCTTACTGTTTTTTGCTAAGTTTTTACATTTGTTTGATGTACTTACGATCAAACTGTATTCACAACTTTGTATCCTGAGTTTTTCACTTACTCTTCTGATGTATTTTTCATGTTATCATATAGTCTTTAGGAGTTATATGACATGTCACTGTGAAAGTGGAAAAACTCAAACCATTTTTCCTCTCCTTTCAACCACAACAACACAGAAGACTTCTGTGACAAAATGTGTGGGGGCTTCTCCCCACACACCAAGCAAGCAATCAATTCTGTAGCAGACACCAGCTGGGTGTCCTCCAATTCAATTCCAACATTATCTACCTGGAGATAGCGTCAAATCCCACAGGTTGAGAGCTCAGTCTCCACAAGACTTCTCCCTTACTTCCAATGCCAACTGAAAGCCCCAGGTTGTTTCACCTGTGCTTCTGACTCACCAGCTATAAATTGTGGATCCCAAGACCCCCTCCTTGGGTTCAGTTAATTTGCTAGAGCAGCTCACAGAACTCGGGGAAACACTTACATTTACTGGTTTATTACATTATTATATTACAAAGGATACAGATGAAGAGATGCATAAGGCAAGGCATGTAGGAAAGGGTCCCTGAGCACACCACCCTCCAGGAAGCTCCGTATGTTCAGCTATTCAGAAGCTCTCTGAACCCAGTCCTTTTTGGGTTTCTATGGAGGTTTCATTATGCAGGCATGACTGATTAAGCCATTGGCAATCAACTTAATCCTAACCCCTCCCTGCCTTCTCCAAAAGTTGGGGGGTGGGGATGGCAGTCCCAACCCTCTAATCACAACTTTGTATTTCTGGTGACCAGCCCCCATACTAAAGCTACCAAGGGGCTGCCAGCCATCAGTCAACTCATTAGCATACAAAAAGACATCACTATGGAGATACCAAGGATTTTAGAAGTTATATGCCAGGAAATGGAGATGAAGACCAAATATATATTTTACAATATCACAGTCACTGACTATAATATAAACCAGCTTTTCACTTCTCTAGTGTTAGATATTTATGTCATTTTCATTTTGTTTTAAATTATAAAGGTTAAGAAATTATGGTCCAGAAGTTACACAATTTACATAACGTTACCATTCTAAGCAAAATATAATAGTAAAAGTAAATAATAAAGATTTGGGGGTCAGTGATACAGTAAAATCTCAAAGCCAAGTAGAAGTGTTTTGGGTTCTATTTTGGGGTTATTTATTCTCATGAGAAATTGAGGTGACAGTTTAGAGTAGCTTAGTTATCCCAGGTCAAAAAGGAAGACTGAATTCAGTACTCAGTTCCCATTTTTCACAGCCTTCATTCCTAATCCTTCATTATAGAGGGCTGATAGAAACATTTTTAGAGAAGCAGCTCTTGGGAATGGCTTTGGGAAGTGGCAGAGAGAGTGAGCTATCCCTCCAGCAGTTGTGAGGCTATCTGGGGTCCAAAAGTATGTACATTTTTATTCACTGGCTATCTTGAGAACTGACAATATCTAGGACAAAGACACTACTTGCAACTCCCTTTATAAGAGTAGGACCTAAAGAAATGCTTAAGAATAGGGTTTAAGTGTATTTAAGTAATGTATTGTAAGTTGTCTAAGAGGTAACCAGTAAAAAAAAAAAAAAAAAAAAAAGACATTGTAAGAATATTCATCTCTTCCCTCTTAACGTTTAATCTCTATCTTAAGCGCTTATTTCCATCACCATGAGGCAGAAAATTTTCATTTCCTTTGTCTTTGTTTGAAGAGATGGTACTTTAGTGAGCTCATTCTTGACCTAATGTCTAATTTATAAGTGGGTGTTACAGTGTAGAGAAGTCTTATTGCTTTCATGTTTTTCTCAGTGTCTCCTATCATTCTAACTTTCATAAGCCTATGCCTATTTCAAGTTATCATTCATTCCCACTTTTTAGAACACCTGACATGTAAATTTTCAAGTAATTTGGACTTTTAGACTCCAAATTTAAGTTTACTAATACAAAACTGCTACTTTTGGAATGTAAAAAAAAATAATGTCCCATTACAATACTATATATAAATTCTCAAAGATAGCAAAATCTCCAATTCAATTTTTTCCTACGTGCTTTCCAATTCCAATTGTGGATTTGTCCTGGAATCAGATGCCCTACTATAAATATACACGAGTGACTTTCCAGGCATCAGAAAGGCACCTTTCCTACTTCTAAGTTAGTGGTCTCTGATTCCTGTGTTTTCTGAACACTGACCTCTGTATTTCAACTTCATATATCAGATGACACTGCATGCCCATTACATGTCTCTTCTTATGGTAAAACTAGAAATCAGTTCAGTGAAAGCAGATCCTGTTAGCACTACTGGTTTATCTGGTAAGGTTTGCTCAGGATTGGCCTGTTAAATATTGCTGATTACTTTATTACAGGCCAGATTTGATAACTGCCCCCAGCTGCTCCAGAAAACGGAGTGGATGTTAAGTAATTATTTGTCAAAGGTTTCACTGTCATAGCAACTAAGAAACACTTTGTAAGTTCTCTCTGTAAGTCCACCCCTCTCCTTCTCCGAAAACAAGCGTATTCCTGATTGAAGAAGCTCAGAAAATGCACACAAATCCATGGCGCGCACTGTAGCCACATTTAAACAGGACCTTCTCCAACAGCTAGCTCACTCAAGAAAGTATATGCACCTACATTCAAAGCACCTTCCCACACCCCATCCAGTTCTGCAGATGACAACTGGTCTCCTCCATCTTTCCTTGATTTTGGCCTCCTTGTCTTACTTTCACCTGGGTTAACACCAAAGTAATGAGGGTTTCTACACAGAGTACAATGATTTTCATTAAGCCTTTCTGACAGAACTTAATTAACAGTACCGATTCTTCCCCACAAGATTACTTCTGTTTCTGATAATGCCCCATTTTATCTCTTCAGGTATTTATATGAAATAATTCCACAGATACAAGAAAAGTCAAAATGCCCAGCCACAATATCTATAGTTATGGTCTGGCACTGATTTATGAACCTAAGACAAAGCTTCCTTCCTTAAACTTATTTCACCTATTAACATTATCATACTTTCATTGTATCTTCTCTTATCATTCTGGAGGGGGAAAAAACTGCTGCAAAGTCAAATGTAAATTGCAAATTGGTTTTTATCAAGCTAGGGACAAACTGACTTTGATGATTAGAATCAGGAATCAGGGACCATCTTTTAAAAAATCACACATTTCTTTTCCTCATACTGCAAATTTTTAAGTCCGGGGGGGCTTTTTTTTTCCGCATTGCTAGTTCTACTACTAATGGGTTTTAGTATTACTACAGAAATCACATATCAATTTCCCTAGCAAATAAAAATAACAGATTACACCCAGACCAATGATTATTCCATAGGAAAAGTGGGATAACCAGGTGGTAAGAGAAAGCTTCTCGCAACAGAATCTTTACCTGTGAAATAAGGATTCTACCTACAGAGCTGTTTGCTGAAAATTTCCCTCTCTTCTCCAGACAAATTCTCTAAATTCCCAGCCCAAAAGCAGTAATTTTTTCACGTTTTCTGTGAAATGGATGGCCTTAAAACTCTTTTGTTCTCTGGTGTAGCTTTTCAGAAGGAAATGGGTGTCCTTATCAAGAAAAAGAATCTAGCTTCCCCGGAGACAAAAGACAACTATCTTCTCCATATCACTCCGTACCACAATAACTTTTAAGTGTCTTCCTCTTCTAATTTAAACGCGGTTCCCTTCAACTGAAGGGCGATACGCTATGGACTCTTCCTTCAGAGCCCATTGTGCCCCACAGATCACAAAGGTGGAACCTGGCCCCAGTTCTGGACATTTAAAAGGCACCCTCTTTCTTCCTCACGTGTTTTGCCCTCAGCATGACATTATGGGATCAATGAACATTAATAAGACGGTTAATAGCCTTCCTTGGTGTCCATCCGATGCCGCTTTAAACTTTTCTATTCCTCTCCTGTGCTTTAGATTCTTCTGTAGTTCGGAAGGTAAACTATTCGCACGACCATTCCTTATCTCCCCGCCCCTCTTCCTCCCTCACCGTTCAAGTGTGGTCAGGCCTTCATGGGAATACCTCACCTCACCTTTTGTCTCCACAAGTCCATCTGCTTCCTTCCAGAGCTTAAAAGGTAGGGCAGGGGCACCGAGACATGGCCAGAGGGCACTTGGGGGCTGGCACAGCCACCTGCACCTTCTGGGGCATCCCTTCTCCCACCTGTCACCTGAACACCCGTTTCGTAAATAAAGATTTACCCCCCCCAAAGTCCCATCTCTTTCTGAAAGGGATGAACCAGCTACCCAACGAGCCCTTTGTCTGAGGCTTCCACACCTCTCACAGCCTCATCCACAAAGCGTCCATCCTCACACGGTTAGGGGGTCTGCTCGCCACAGGGCGGGGGAGACTAGGTTTCCGCATCTGGTAAAAGGATAGGTTATGTCCCAGGTCCTTCCAGGATCCGAAATTGTACAATTCTACAACCAAACGTGCAGGTCCTATTTCCGAAGTGGAAAGCGCGAACCGCGGGGCGACTCTCGAACTCAGCGCGCGTGCTGGCAGTTAGAACAAGCCCCCTCCAGCCCCGGCTCCGCGAATCCACGCCTCCGACCTCAGGCGCCGGGCCGCTGAGGAGGCCCGGCCGGCGCCCGCCCGCGGCCGCGCGGTGCACTCCTTCACCCTCGCCCGCCGCCGCGGGCCGCCTCTCACCTGGCACGCTGGCATCGCCCGCCCCGCGTCGCACTGGATACCATGGGTCCGGACGGGTCTCGGCGGCCACCAGTTCTCCTTGACGGAGGCTGGCGGGGATGCGCGGGCACCAGAGTCTAGCGCGCCGCCACCGGGAACGCGCCGCCTGGTTTCTAAGGAACAGGGGCCACGGGAAAGGGAGGGGCGGGACGGCGGGGGGAGTGCGCATGCTCTGTGACGGGGGTGGACCCGCGCTGGGCGGGGCCACGGCAGAGAGCTACGCATGCTCGTTCATTGGGGGCGGAGCTTAAGTGGCCTGGCTGGGAGGCCCAAGTCGCTGATTTCCGGCGGCTGAGGCTGCGGAGGGAGCGGTGTGCTGTCCTCTGCTTCTCTCTGGCCCCGCCGATCGGCCTCAAGAACGAGGAGGTTCTGGGAATTGTGGTCTGCCTTGGTTGTCCCGGAATGAAAGAGGGTCTCGTGTTGAACAACAACCTGTCTTTGTAGAAAGTCAGTTCTCTCGAACTCTTCGGACTTCTGGTTTACTGACTGCTCATGACTTGCTTTTCTGTTTTCTCAGGCGTCTCTAGTTAAGTAGCAGTGCCCTTGACATCTTTACTGGACCCTGTGTCCCTCCAAGTAAATACCAGACTGTCCACTAGCATACTGAAACCGGTAGACCTCAGTGTAAAACTGGCTATGTAGGAAATGTGACTGGGGTTTGTTTCTGCATCGGGAGCTCCCGCCCCTGCTTGTCTGACTCTCCTGGTGGCTGGATCCCTACTCAGGGGGCATTAGAAGGGTCTCCCAGCTATCATTCCAGAGCAGCCTGCAATGACAGAATATATATCAGCAGACTTGAGGCATGAGGCAGTTCCTACTGAGACCTGCTGGCCAGCAGCGGGGCTATTCCTGTGGAAGACACAAGACTTCCTACCACTGCTGCCACCACCTCTTTGAGCGCAGAAGGCTCCCAGAGTGATCAGAAATTGTAACCTCCAACCTCCCCCTTATTCTTTTTTTTTTTTTGTTAGCACTGTCTTCCAATCCGATCCCCCTCTTCTGATGGGGTTTAACCCCTTCCTTCTCCCCTGGATCCTGAAGAGCCAGACAGAAAGGAGGCAGAATCAAAGTGTGCCTGTGTTTGATCTGTTTCTATCTTAGTCATTGTTCAACAGTCTACTCTTCCAGAGCAGGGTTTCTCAACAGTGGCAGTGTTGATATTCCGGGCCTGGTAATTCTTTTTTTTTTTTTTTTTTTTTGAGACAGAGTCTCACTCTCTTGCCTGGGGCGAGTGCCGTGGCGTCAGCCTAGCTCACACCTCAAACTCCTGGGCTCAAGCAATCCTACTGTCTCAGCCTCCCGAGTAGCTGGGACCACAGGCACGCGCCACCATGCCCGGCTAATTTTTTCTACATATATTTTTAGCTGTCCAATTAATTTCTTTCCATTTTTTGGTAGAGACGGGGTCTCGCTCTTGCTCAGGCTGGTCTCAAACTCCTGAGCTCAGAACAATCCGCCCGCCTCGGCCTCCCAGAGTGCTAGGATTACAGGCGTGAGCCACCGCCCCCGGCCCCGGCCTGGTAATTCTTTGTTGGGCAGGGCTGGGAGCGGAGCGCTGTCGGCATCACACAATGTTTAGCAGTATTCCTGGTTTCTACTCACTAGATGCCAGTAGCTCCTCAAACCCAGTTATGACTACCAAAAGTATCTCTAGATATTCCCAAATGTCCCCTGGGGGGCAAAATCACTGCCAGTTGAGAACCACTAGTTCAGAGGAAAATAATTAGCTGGTGATGTTCACTGAGAACATCCATGAGCTTTTCCTAATTTATTGGACCACATTAGAACCCTTTTCCAGTAACCATGCCTCCCTGAGATACAATTCTATATGCTTTCTTTCAGGAAATCCCGTCCCCCACTCCAGTGACTTTTAGCTACTACCTGCTCCCTTCTGTTCTCTATATTATTATGTGGTACCATTATCCGTCCTGTCACCCCAACCAAAGCCTGCATTTGCTTTGTCTCGTTTCTCCCATTTCCCTCACATTCAGTCACTCATCTTGTTGTGCCAACATTTATCTCCTAAAAATTTCTCAAACCTGCCCTTTTACTTGTGGCCTGCTACAGTGGCCTCCTAGCTGGTTTCTTTGGCTCCAATCTGTTTCCAGTCCCACCTCCAGGTGGACAGCAGCATGATCTACTGTATCCCTTCTCTGCATAAAACCCTGGTGCCTTGAGGGCAGGGGAGGCAGGAATGGGCCAGTCACACCAATAAGCATCCTCATGAGGATAGGTGCTCACACGTACTGCGTCCCTGTGTGCCAAGCACTGCTGTAGACATGTTGTAATCCCCCATTGCCACGGAGTAAAAAGATTAACTATATTTTCGGGATGGAGAAACTGAGTCTCAGAGAGGTTAACTTTCCACAGTCACCTGGTTAGTAAACACAGCTATCTGTGCTGGGATTTTAAGCACGAGCTCTTTCTCCTCAGACTGACAGGCAGGAAGCTAACCTTAACATGCCTTAAAAGAGATACCCCTGAGAAGCTCTTTGGGTGGGTGTATTTGGACTGGTTTTTTGTTTTGTTTTGTTTTGTTTTGTTTTGGAGACTGGGTCTCTTTCACCTGGGCTGGAGTGTAGCGGCGCCATCACAGCTCACTGCAGACTCAAACTCCTGGGCCGAAGTAATCCTCCTGCCTCAGCCTCCCCAGTAGCTGGGACTATAGGCACACTATCATGCCCAGCTAATTTTTAAGTTTTTTGTAGAGATGGGGTCTCACTATGTTGCCCAGGCTGCTCTTTAATTCCTGGCCTCAGGCAATCCTCCTGCCTCAGCCTCCCAGCGTGCTGGGATAATAGGCATGAGCCACTGACCTGGCTAGAATGTGTTCTTAAAATCTTATTTTTTGGGGGTGGCGGTCTTGTGGCCCATCTTTATGAAGTTGAATTTGCTACTTATTCCTTGTCTAAGACGAAAGCAGTTTCAAAGGAGAGAATTGAGGTTTAAGTATCTATCCTCTTTGGGGTCTTACAAACACCCAAAGTTTCAAGGGTCCTTGAGCGGAGGCACCAGGGGCCTGGGCATTTGAGAAGTGGACTGAGGAGGGCCTAAATCCTCCAGGATAGGATGTATCACACAAGGGGTGCTAACCCCAGCAAGACTTAAAACAGAGACCAGACACTCATGACTGCTCATGGATGTGTATTTTAATAAAAATAATTCTGTCAAAATACAACAGGAGTTTTTTTCATCTCTCAAGTACAATTTTAATAGGATGTTTTGTGTTAGAATTCTCTCTCAACCCTCCCACACCCACAAGTTTCATGCTAATGCCAAGTATCAACTCTCGAGGACAAAGGCAGAACCAGTGTGCACAATGTGGAGGATGTCTGTTTCAGCTGTAGTTACTAATGGAGGAAAACCCGATGCAAAGAGGCAAGTGTCTGAAGCAGCCAGAGGCCATGATCTGGCCGCAGGTCCGGGTGCATGGGACTGGCGGTCAGGTAGGGCTCTGCTGCCCAGCTGCCACACAGCGCGCATACCTGAGTTGTGAGCAACCAAAGGAACTTTCAGCTCTGACAGTTCTCTGCCGCATCTTCTTTGTGCTTGCTTACGGGGTAAGAAGGGTGGCTAGGCGGTCCCCACTTCTCTGTCTCGTGGTGTCCCTGTTTTGACGGCCTGTACCCAGCCACAGACCCATGTGGGTGGGGATAGGGGTTCTGGCTTTGAGTGGTCTGCCAGTTTTCACTCTGGAAGGAGCAACCATTTGGTACTGCAAGGGGAAGGTGAGTAGGGAAGGCTGCTCCCCAGGGCTGGACAACCCAACAGAGCCAGGTCTTCCTCCTGCCCTCATGGGTCAGGTCCAGCCCTTCACCAGGGCTCATCCCTGGTGCCTTTCCTGCTCCAGGCTCCTGGAAGCAGGCTGGTAGGACTCGATGTACATAAAGGGCTCCTCCGGATGGCAGGCAAGCCTGGACTATGAGCAAGAGAGTGGGCTCAGCAGCCTGGTTTTGGCCCTCTCCACGGCTTGTGGGGCAAAGGCTTATGTCCCAAAGGTGAGCTGTCCAACTGGGACAGAGAGCCCCTCTGGAGAGGAACAGAGTAAACAACTTGGACTCAGCTGAAACAGTGAGATAAGGCACAGAAAATGGGGAGGTGGCCATGGGTACCGAGTGCGAGCCAGGCACACACCCAACCCCACGCAGCACACAGCTGTCCCGAGCCCTCTTGGGCCCTCTCTCAGCCACTCCACAACTCAAGCCCAGGCACCCATCCTCATCCCTGACACACCCCTGAAGGTACCGGCTACTCACGACACTGCCAGAGGTCACACCAGCCCAAGCCCTCATGGGGCTCATCTGCCGTTCAGCTTCAGGACTAAACACTGTGGCCCAACCCACAGGGATAAGGTTAGTTCCAGCTCTGCCACCAATTTGCTATGTGACTTTGGCCAAGTCACTTAATCTCCTGGGCCTGTTTCCTTATCTGTAAAAGGAGAGGATTGATTGGGGAGAGGTTCTCTGAACCCCATTCCAGCTGTAAAAGCCTCTGGTTTTAGTTCCTAATCCTGCTAGGCTCTGACCATTTTTAACAGCCTGATGTTTCCAAACTCTGGGTTTGGGAGCTAGGTATTCCCAGCCTTGCACAGGATGAATTTTCTTTACAGACAGGACAACACCTCCCAACGGGCCATAGTTTATGGGCTGCCAGCTGGGGCCCTGGCAGGGACCAAGAAAAAGCAGCAGCTATAGGATCATCTCCCAATGAAGAACTCTTGGAAAGCACAGGGCCATCATCAGCAGCTGGTCCAACTCAATCATTTTTCTTGTTGTCCAGCTGTGGCCCTGGTGAGGCCTGATGGGCACTGAATATCTGAGGCCACACCATCCATTCCCGTGTCTGCTCACACAGAACTTGCTCAGCCCAGACTCAGGCCGGGACTGGAAGTTCTACTTCTGGCCTTGCCATCGCTCACCCCACACTTTGCAGGGGCTGCCTGTGCTCCCCCTCATGCTGTGAGGCAGCCATGGAAACTGCAGCCCCTCCTGGTGCTCCTCTGCATAGGCTTCCTCCCTTTCCTCCTCCAGGGCAGCCAGTCCTCTCCACAGATGGCCCACCCAAGTCCTGGCAGCCATCTCAGCCCTTCCTCTCCTGATTCCCCAGTGGTGGCAGGACCATTTTTGTTCTATCAGCTGTGAGGATCCATCTGAA